TATTGACTCAAGGCTGGGGTCCCAAGGGGCAAGGCAGTCAAGGTACTCAAGGCTGCTGATGGTGGTATTGTTTCTGCTATCATGGAACTGACCACCTATAAGTTTGCGTTCTCTTCTTTTGTGTTTTTTGGTGCTTAGTTAGTCATTAGTGCTTCCTGGCTAATTATGAAAGAAAATTTTAATTCGGAATTTGTGATACTCATAACCTTATTTTTTTTATTATGCTCAATCTTAGCTATTTTTATTCGGAATAGGCAAGCAAATAACTCAGTGTGTTCTGATCCTTGATATATAAATATCTCATGACAATTGAGGATATGATGTTGAATCAATCAACTTAAAATGTTATGCTTTGGTGCTTGTATAATAGTGTATCTGTGGACAGTTTGCCTCCTGCCATGTTGTCTCAAATATAGATAGGCTAATTAATTATCCCGTGTTCATGTCTAATTAAGTTGATTAGGCTTTGCTGGCCAACACTAACAGTATTAGAGCAGAGAGAACAGATGGGGCAGAAGAAAGAATTTATCATGCAAAGCAATTGAAATGTATTCTTCTCAAGTTTTTTTAAGCTAAATAATGTATTGAGAGAATGGACAGAAGAAGAATGTATTGAGATAAAGGGTAGTGAGTAGCTTTTGGTTGTTGCTGATCTGAAGTTTTCGTGTGTAGTTCACAAAGATGTATCCTTCTCAAGATATAAACCACTTGAAAGGATATCAGTTTCTTCTATGTGCTAGATAGTCGTCTAATATGTCTTTATCAGTACTCGAGAATGGTTATTTTTATGTGAATTTCTTAAATTCTTGTTTTGTTAAATTTAGATCTAATTGATCTTTATATCTCTTAAAAAGTAAAATAAATTTCTAAATGTACACTAGCTGTTTGACAAAATGCCCCAATAAAACCTATCATTTTATCCATTTCAAATGTCGATAAAAACTAAGTAAAAGTAAATCAATTATGTTTTAAAGTAAATCAAAAGATTAAAATTATGATATTTCAATTTCTTAGCTTCCTCGTTTCTATGTCATGGTTCTTTGGTTGTTACTATGTTATTAAGAGCTTGTATGTGTTGGATTTGTCTACTCTTAATTTTTGCTTTGTTGTTAGGAAACCTTGTTGTTGTATACAGGTGCTTAGAGTAAGTTATAATTGCTTTCGGATCGAAGCTTGTATGTATGTTAAATGTGCTTTGTTTTTTATAATGTCGGGGCTTGGATTTATGGGGCTATAGGCTATTAAAATCTACTCTAGCAACAGTGGATGTTGTATATAACTTTTTTTGTCAATGGCAGGACTATGTATGCTTAATGCTTTAGTTAGGGTCCTTAACTACTGCTACACTTGAAGTACAAAAGAAGGTCTTAAAGATCATAGAGAGCACTTCCTAAGCATGCCTTATCATAAATCTAAATTGATTAGAGTTTATAGATGGATATATACGAGTTGTTAGTATGGCAATAGAAAGCAAAGTTTGGAATGACATTCTAGCAACATGTGTGTAAATTTAGTTTACATTAAACTAAATATAAGTATACAACTCAGAGTTTATAATTTTAATTATCCGTCTTTGTATTAAACATTTCAAACAAGGTCAAATGGTGAAGCATCTTCGCAAGCTTTTTAGAATGGTTGGCATTGTTTCATGTCAGAGTTGTGAACCTTACTGCCAAATTCCCCTCTATGATGGATCAATCCTATTTTCTTGTATTGTGTTTTGTTTAAATGGCTCTGCAATCATTTTTAAAAAAGATAAAACAAATAAGATATGGGTTTCTTATAAATAAGATATGGGAACTGACCACCTGATAAGTTTGCGTTCTCTTCTTTTGTGTTTTTTGGTGCTTAGTTAGTCATTAGTGCTTCCTGAAGCATGGTCTTGAAATTTGAGGAATTTTCAGAGGTTGTTTGTTTACTTTCAGCTGTTGTACTGGTGAAACTTTGAGAATATCTTATATGTGATGAAGCCAAGCACTTGTTTGATTAGCGCATGGTTCATTTATAGGTCTTTTAAAAGTCTTGTCAATTTCTTTGGTTTCTCAGTTAACCTCAGTTTTCAGTGAGTTAGGTTTATCTTTTTGAAGTATGTGGTACCCTGGAATAGCTTAAAGGAGAAAATCGGCAATGACTCAGTCATATGGCCTTATATCCTCCGTTCTGCTGAACTGTGTGTTTGAGTCACTAGTGACCATGGCTCTATTGAACTGTGTGTTTGACTTTGTTGAATTTGTTAACATGACTCTGTTGAACTGTGTGTTTGAGTCACTAGTGACCAATCTTATGCTAGTAACCTGTTCTGACAAAGTTGAGCTTCTTTGTAAACTACAGCAGTTCAACTAGAAAACCAGTTGTTGCCTTTTGTATATAGTATTCTAGAAATAGGTGATCTAAGTGAAGAAATGAGTGTCCATTTCTAGATTTGTCGGGGTTAGGGAGGAGTGCATGAAGATACACTTGCAGAAAGGAAAAAATGTTCAATTGGAATTGTTTGTTTGTAATGTAGACTTTCCTTTTTTTTTTTTTGGTAAGTAAGCAAGTATTATTAATACCAAAAAAGAGGGAAGCCCTCAAGGAGTACAAACCCTAACCAAACCAAGACCACCCTCTAGGAAGGGTGCCTTGGAAACGGAAAGGGAAAAACAGTTACAAAAGGAAACCACCTTCTAGGAAGGGTGCTTCTCACAATGTAACTGTCAGCAACAAAAACAGAAACCCATCCTCCCAAAAAAACTTACGTAAGCCTCTGCATCAAAACAGAAAAAAACACCACAGACAAAATACAACCAGAAAAAAAAGAAAACCAATAAGGAAACAAACATAAACTAGCTTGCATTCCTAAGTTGAAACAACCATCTGACTTGGGCTCTTGTCCATCTTCTGTTTATCAGTTGTTGGCTTCTGTTTATAGATGCAACATTGTAGATTAAGTTACCTTACATTTTTTTTGGTTTTTTTTGTAACAGTGCTATGGATTCTTCAGTTGCTACTGATATTAACAATGCTAAAGATTATACAGATGTACATTTGAAAAGGATAATGTACGTGTTTTGTTATTTCCTTATTTTATGTTTTCTTATTAAATGCTTGTTGATTTAATGAATTATTAAAGAAATGCTTGCTAATTTGACATATGAGCAAATAACTATTTGTTTATTTTCTAAATGAGCAAAAAACTGTTTGCTCATTTCCCAAATGAGGAGAAAACTGATTGCTCATTTCCCAAATGAGTAAACTAATGTTTGCTCATTTCACAATTGAACATCTATGGTTTTGCTCATTTGTGTAAAATTAGCAACTAAATATTTGCTCATTTGACAAATGAGAAACTAACTATTTGCTCATTTGTTAAATTAGCAACTAAGTATTTGCTCATTTGACAAATGAACAACTATCTATTTTGCTTATTTTAGAAATAAGTAACAAATTATTTGCTCATTTGACAAATGAGTAAACTAATGTTTGCTCATTTCATAAATGAGCAACTAACTATTTGTTCATTTGACAAATGAGCATCTATGTTTTTCCTTATTCGTTAAATCTATGTGATATTTGACTTTTTTTTTAATGATTTTGTATCAGCAGGAATTCTATTTAAAAGGAGTCTGGTGCAAATGCCGGTTCATCAGGGGCGGCTATTGTCGATGCCGGTTCATCAGGGGCTACTGTTGAGGTTGGTTTACCAGGGGTTGCTGCCGAGGCAGGTTCATCAAGGGCTGATGCCGAGACTGGTTCATCAGGGGCTGTTGCCGAGGCAGGTTCATCAGGGGCTGTTGCCGAGGCAGGTTCATCAGGGGCTCTAGTGGCAGAGGAGAAGATCAGTGAAAAGAAGAAAAAGAAAATCAAAGTAGTTGCTACAAAGGGTAAAGGAAAAAAGGTTGAAAAAAGAGTGAAAGAAAATCATAATGTGAAGTTTGAGGATCCAGACAGTGAAGATGTTGTTGATGAAGTGCAGAAATCAAAATCTGTTGTTTATGGGACGTTGCGTAATAGGATGTCACCTTCATCTGTTGTTAATGTTTTTAAGGAGTTTTCTGAAGATCAGTTGACTGCCATTAGAGCTATAGGATTTGGGTCTTTGGAGTTTTTGAAAGTGTCCCAACTGCCTTTGCAATTGGGTTTTTGGTTAGTCAAGCACTTTGATGCTCATAGTTGTACGTTGAATATTCCTGATTCCGATCCTTTCAAAATAACGGAACAACATGTACATGATGTCCTAGGGCTGCCAGCTGGAGGCATGGAGATGGATGCTAATCTTTTTTCAAAGGATGATAAAGTTATTAACCAGTGGAAAAAACAGTTCCCAAAGAACTCATTATCTGTGAACATTGGGGAACTTTCAATGTACTTGAAGAACCATAAATCAGCTGGGCCAATGTTCAAACGCAATTTTGTAGTTCTTTGTGTTTCCACTTTATGTCAGGTAGTTTTTTCATTTTCATATTTCTTATTTTAATTTCATTTTATTCATTTTAATTTCATTTTGCTCATTTTAGTTTCATTTTGCTCATTTTAGTTTTTGTTTGATCATTTTTTTTAATTTTGTTATTTAATGTTAGGAGGACAAAACAAGAATGTTAATCATGTCGTTCTCAGATATTTGAGTAATGTTGCTAAAATCAAGGATTTAAATTGGTCAAAGTTTATCCTTGATTCTCTTGTGAAGGCGAAGATCAAATGGGATGAGCTTCCTACTCGCTACTTTCTAGGATCTTTATTATTTCTTATGGTATGTTTTTATGTGTTGCATTTTATTGTTTGAAAAATAGCAAGATCACCTGCAACCCCCTTCCTCCCTTAAACAAGAACACACACACACACTTACACACACACACATACACATAAATACACATACACACGCACACAAACACACATATATGCATACACACACACTGACACACACACACACACAGACACACACACAGATACACTCACACACACATACACACAGACAAATGCACATACATACATGCACTCACAACCTATAATAGAATCTGAAATCAGAATTGAAATGTGTGGGTAGGTGGCAGTAAGGGCTGGGGCTGGTATTTTCTAATTTTTTTTATTTTTTTATTTTTTATGCATTAACTGTTATTTATTTGTTTAATTTTAATGTACTAATCTTTTCTATCTTACTTGTTTGTAGCTTTTATATATTGATCATTATGTCATTGAGGAAGTTAGAGCGAACCGAGAAACTCCTATTCTCAAAGGTTGGACAACCAATATGTTGTCTAGCCGTGAGAAATTGGAAATTTTTAAGGGGAGGCTTGGAATTTTCGATAAAAATCTGAAGGTTGTTGGTCCTTCTGGCAGCAAACAACCAAAAATGGTATTTCACTTTCAATCAATACTTAGCTTTTCTGCCTTTTAGAATTAAATTGAATTGGACCAAATCATGTTAGATTTCATTCTAAACGGTCCCAACTTATTCTGATTTTTTTTTTTTTTTTGTTTTGCATTCAGGAAACATCTGTTCCAACTGTTCCACAAACTAACGAAGATGTTGAAGTAGATCCAAAGAAGGTGCATTTTGACATGTTTATTTTCCGAGAAGTGCATTTTGCAATTTTGCAATATGAAGGAAATGTGCAGAGCTCTGTGTTGTCAAGTGATATCAAGCGCATGGAGCATGTTACACTTGATTCTCCTTGGAAGTCTACAGATAATAATCATTTGCACTGTGGAATTGCATTGATGAGGATTATGGAAACATACATGGGTTTGTCAAAGTGGGCATCAAGTTTGAAGAAGAATAATGTAAGTCTTTCATCTTATATGAATTGTCCTTAGATACTTGTTTGCTGGATTTTACAAGGCGTACAATTTTTACTTGTTAATTTCTAATACTCTCTGAGTTTATAGGAATATGGACATGTAAAGTGAAAATTTGAATGATAAAGAAAATTCATGATAATAAAAGGATATTAGTATGTTTATATGCACCACCAAGATATTTTTTTTTTTATTATTCTTATATAGAAATTTAAATAAATCTTGCTCATTTGTCAAATGAGCAGCCAATAATTTGCTCATATTTCAAATGAGCAAGCAATTATTTGCTCACAAAACGACACAATTGATAGAGTACCTGGATAACAATTGCCATTAACCATTTTTTGCAAGTTCATTATATAAGTGATTCCATGTGCTTGGACTTTTGTGAAAGTTGCTGCATTGTTATTTGATAGTTAACCAAGAAAGGATCAAATTGTAAACTTTCCATATGTTAAATATAAGGTCTTTAGGAAGCGCTACACTTTCAATGTTAAAGTTGGTAAGCTCATTTAAGTAGTTAAAGAGAGAAAAACTAAACTAGTGCTCTAGGCTGTGGATTATGCATCCTTGATAAGTGAAATCTTCCAAGCTTCCATCTTCTTATGAACACTAAGGCAGCTTCCTACTCTGGGTTTTTTTTTCTCTTGAAGTAGAGGCTTTGCACCAAAATTTCAATAATTAAAAAAACAGGACATAATTTCCACAACTTCTAATAGAATTCTGTTTATGTCCAATATAAACTGTTTATGTCCAATATAAGTAGTAGATGGTTCTAAGTGACCTTGCACACCGATCATCCACCTTCCCTTTTCCAACTTGGCTGAAACTTGGACTATAAACTGTAGAGCAATTGAGCCAAAATTTAGTGAACCCAGTGAATAGTCTTAGCTTACATATCAGGTATGCTGCTTATTCTATTACTTATTTTATTCTTCTGCTACGTGCTTTGTGCTTCACCCTGCTTTATGCATTTATATTTTTTAAAATTTTCTTGTTTTATTTTTTCTTTCCAATTTCTTACAGGTGATAATCATGGAAAAACTTCGTGTGAAGTACACCTTGGCAATAATTTCAAGCGAAATAAACACAATTCAATCCGTTAAAGAAATTCCTCAAAAGAAGAAAAAGCAGAGGAAAGTTTCTCCTAAGACTGAAGAAGAAAAAGTTGAAGAACAAAAGGGTGAAGAAGAAAAAGCTTAAGAAGAAAAGGCTACTTGTTAGTGTAACCTCAATATTTTGCTTGGTGTAGTGTTGATTAAGGTGTTGACATAGCTTTCTAATTTTAGGGAAGTAAAGAAACAATGATTTAATCAAGTTGTAAATATTTTTTGAATGATGTAAAAATGGTGACTTTTGATTATGTTGACTTTTGTATTCGTTATATTTAAATTGGATGTTTTGTGTTTGCTTGAAATACTTTGTCATTTATACCTACCGTTTATTAAACTATTTGTTGACTTACAAATGAGCAATGAACTATTCGTCCAATTGACAAATGAGTAAATAAATATCTGCTTGTTTGAGCAAATCAACAAAGAACAATTATTTGCTCAAGGGTAGAGAAAATTATTCTTTGCTCATTTGACAAATGAGCAACTAAGTTTTTGCTCATTTGAAAAATGAACAAAGAACAATTTGCTCATTTGACAAATGAGCAAAGAATAATTTGCTCATTTGAGAAATAACCAAAGAAATGCTTGTTTATTTAATAAATGACTAAAAATAAATTTTGCTCATTTGACAAATGAGCAACTAACTATTTGCTCATTTGACAAATGAGCAACTAACTATTTGCTCAATTGATAAATGAGCAACTAAGTTTTTTCTCATTTGTTAAATTAGCAACTAAGTATTTGCTCATTTGTTAAATTAGCAAAAAATTAATTGCTCATTTTCTAAATGATTAAGTAATTGATTCTGTTAAGAAATATAAAATCAACAAAATATTAACAAAATTTAAAACACAAAATTTATAAATGTTTAATAAATAATGAGGAGATGTGCCAAAATATTAAATCTCATTTTTATATAAAGTTATCATTACACTTTTTTTGGACAATTTCTAATATCATGATGACTCAATTCACCACAACCTCTGCATAATCTCTTCTTTTTCTAGTTTTGTTCTACAACCTTTTCTTTTTCTCCCTTCAGCCTTTTTGCACTTCTACCTCTTGTTTCAACATTTGGCACATCAATCTCAGCCTTTTTCTCTTTTGAAGTCTCTTCATTTGATACATGAACTCTAGTCCCTTTATTCTTTGAAATTTTTGGAGGTTTGACAATTATTTCAGTTGGCACACTAGCTCCAATCAATAGATCAATGTCTTTTCCTTTGTTGTTTGCACTTCCTGTTGTTTTATTATTTCTTGCAATCCTCTTAGCCTCCAAATCCTTTCTTATTCCTTGAAGATTTATCACAAGATCTTGAATATCTTCATCATTTCCTTCTGCCAAACTTACACAAGTGTGTATCTCTGACCATAAATCATTTAACAATTTTTTCTTGTCAATTAAATTAGCACATTGCTCCAACAGGTTTCCACCCAAGTCAAAAATTGGTTTTTTCAGTGCCATAGTAGTCCATCTGTGTAGCATATACTGCTCAAGAATGGTTTCAAACCTTTTTGCTTTCCAAACCCACATCATATGTCTACATGGAATACCTTGTCTATAAAATAGCTTGCAAGAACATGTGGTGTCATAGTTAGTTGGATTAAACACAACATCAAATGTTCTAATCCAATTTCCATCACTTACTTTTGCGACTCCCAATCCATTTTCTTTCTTCAATTCATCAACACCACAAGATAAACAAGCAATTTCAACCTCATATTGAAATTCATAAAAGACGGAGTTAGTATATAAATGTGAGGCATGCTTTTCTATCCCTAGTGGTGTTTTGCACTCAGGATATTTATGCTTTGAATCATTATCATTCTGACCTTGAGTGTGTCTTTGGGCATCAATTGCAGCTTCATATATCAAGTAAAACTCAACAAGTGACACATGAGGATTGATAAAGGAGCAGAAAAAGTTGTTTTCACTTTCGGATCTTGATGTTGTACGCATTATTCCTCCAAGGAACACATCTCTAAAATACGCTGGAATCCACTTGTTCCTTATCTTGTACATATAATCTAACCACTCATGTTCTTCCAAATGGTATTCAACCATCACCTTGTTCCACCTTTCTTCAAACTCAGCAGGTTCAATTTCAAGATGCCAAACACAAGCACATAATTTTTTTAGGAAACCAGTTTCTTCTTGCATGATTGATTTCTCCACCTTATCTGGTAACTTTTTCATTATGTGCCACATACAGAAGCGATGTTCAGTCTTGTTAAACACACTTTTAACAACAATTTTCATTGCTGGATCTTGATCTGTAATCATACAATTCGGTTCATTTCCACCCATTTCCTTGAGAAATGATCTGAACAACCACTCAAATGACACTATATCTTCCTTTGCTATGAAACCAGCAGCAAAAGTAATACAACTATTATGATGGTCAATCCCTGTAAATAGAGTAAACACCATGTTATACCTGTTTACACATATAGATTAAATTTTAAATGAGCAAATAACTACACACACACATAAATACACAGACACACGTACTTAGAAACAAACACACGCACGCACACACACACATACACATACATACATACATGCACTCATAATCTGTAATAGAATCTGAAATCAGATTCTGAAATCAGAATTGTCATCAGCTACTGAAATAATTCAATGCTCATTTGACAAATGAGCAAATAATTGATTGCTCATTTGTGAAATGAGCAAATAAGTCAATGCTCATTTGTGAAATAAGCAAAAAATTATACTAAGTTCATTTAAAACAAAGTTATTAAGTTAAGCTATAGTTATAACATAAAAATGAATTGTGATTTTTATGAATTACCTATTGGTTTGGTATGTGGTATCAAAGGATACCATATAACCAAATAGAGTATAACTCTTTTTACAAAGGGGGTCAGCCCACAATGCTCTACAAAGGCAATAATCTTCATCCATCTCAAAATCAAAGAAAAAAGCGCTCCACATTAGCTTTTTGTTGGTAAAGTTATCCACGAACATTTGAGCATCACTTCCTTAAATGTATGCTTTCAAATCTCTATGAAATTTTTTGAAATGTTGCTTAGATGCACCGATGTTATCATATCCTCCAACAATTTCCTTCATCATTCGAAAAGTTGTAACAGGACCAATATTCACCTAATTAAAGAACAAAACAGTTTGGTAAATAATTTAATGCTCATTTTTAAAATGAGCAAACAATTCAATTATTTGCTTGCTCATTTGAACAATTTAATGCTCATTTTTCAAATGAGCAAACAATTTAATGCCCATTTTTCAAATAAACAAACAATTAAATGCTCATTTTTCAAATGAGCATACTACTTTTATTAGAACATATAGAGAATTCATGAAACATAAGAGACTTTGAAAGTCGTACCTTAGAATTATTCACAATTATTTATTTGTGCAATATGTTCATTTTTCTTCCTTCGTTTTGGAAGAGATTGCAACTAGGTGTATAAAGTGCAGGAGTATATCCCTCATGAAATTTTGAAACTATGAATTTGTTATCATCACAATGCTTTATGACAATATGTGCCTTGCACCCAACACGAGTAACGAGTCTCTTCCTTTTGATTGAAGTTTTTTCTTCATTGCTTTCTCCTTCGTTGTTATTTAAATCTTTTTCAACAGTAGCCTTTCTTTTCTCTTTGTATCCTTCTTTATTGCATAAGATATATTGTGATTTCAATTCTTTGCTTCTTCTTTGCCTTTTAGTTGTAGACTTTCTTGTGTTGAATCCAGCAGCAAATGCGTATCTTTTATAAAATTCAAGGCCCTCTTCAAGATTATTAAACTTCATCCCTATAGCTGGTTTCAACTCATTGGGGCATATTGGAAGCCATTCTTTTGTTCCTCTAGGAGTGAGCAAAGGTGATACTTTAGGAGAAACTACTATTGTAGGAGTAGTTGGCACATTTGTGATGGTACTAGAATGACTGTCAAGTTCTTCGTTGTTGCTCATCATTTCTGACATTTAATATAATAGAAATAACAGGTCAATAACAATTCCATAAAATAGTTTCAGGAAGCTCATTAAAAATCTCATACTAGAACATTATGTTGCTGAATTATGTTTTTAACCATACTAATTACTACTTACAGCATAACTCTTACACTTACTCACACAAACACACACACACACACACATAATAATAATTTCATAATCTAAAATAGATCTGAAATCAGCTTCAGAAATCAAAAGTGGAACAGAATGATGAGGGGGCAGGGGGGATAGGTTTGTATAAGGAATTGTAAGAAGGGAGTGTGGTTGGTGTACAGGAAACAGAACAAGAAGAAGGGGGGGTGAGGCTTGTGTGCAGGCAAGAAAACCAAGGAACTCAATGCTTTGATAACAGAAACTAGATGATTTGAAAACTTGATAATGCTACCCTTCACTATGATTTGCAAAACCTAGCATATATAGCATTCAATATAGCATATGAGGACGTTGTCAAATGAGCAAATATCACACAGAAGTGCTCAATCTAAGAAGCACAATCACTAACAAACCAAGAAGGGGGGATAGGTTTGTGCAAGGAAGTGGAAGAAGGGAGTGTGGTTGGTATGCAGGAAACAGACCAAGAAGAAGGGGGTGCGGCTTGTGCACAGGCAATCACACTAAGGAACTCAATGCTCATTTTTTAAATAAGCAAACAATTCTTTGATCTTTTGTCAAATGAGCAAATAATTAAATGCTCATTTGTCAAATGAGCAAATAACTCAATACTCATTTGTGTAATTAGCAACTAAGTATTTGCTCATTTGACAAATGAGCAACTAATTACTTGCTCATTTGATAAATGAGCAACTAATTACTTGCTCATTTGATAAATGAGCAACTAAATATTTGCTTATTAGCTACAGCCATCTCTTTCACTTTCACTGCTTCTGCAACTCATGTTAATGAGCTAAATGCCATTTCTCACCCTCTTTCTTACACTGTACAATCACCACCACCACCAAACTCTCTCTCCTTCCTCCGCCCATGTCCCTGCACCTTACCACCACCACTGTCACCACCACAACCTGTCTCACTTACACTCCCCCGCTGCCGCCTCTGTCCCGTGCACCCTACCACCACCACCATTTCCAACTTATTTTGCTCATTTGCTCATTTTTATATTTGCTCATTTTAATTATGTTTGCTCATTATATTTTTTTTTTATATTATTACAAATATTTAGGTTTGCTCATTTTCAATTCATTTGCTCATTTTAATTTGATTGCAAATTTTCAATCTCTATCAAACCTAAATTATTGATTTAATTCAAAAAATTTCAAAGAAGTAAATTCAATCAAATGAATAATTGATGCAATTAAACATGCAATTCAATGAGAATAGAACAAACCTTAAAAATCGAAAATTATCATGCAATTATCATGCAATTCAATAACTGGCGATTGATGCAATTAAACATGTAATTCAATGAGAACAGAACAAACCTCAAAAATAGAAAATTATCATGCAAGTAACATGCAATTAACGAAAATAATTCGAACTACACAATTTGAAATCCTCAAACACTAAGCTTAACATGCAATTGAAAAATATTAACAAAAATTAAGAAAAATACATTCGGAGAAGACTAAAACTTTTGTTGATTATTTACCTGTATAATCTTTGAAGGTTGTTGATTGTTGTTGCTGCTGAAATTGACAAAAATCGAACTGAATAATGTTGAAATTTTTGAACCTCACTTAAATTGAAGCTCACAGCAGAGTATATGTTTGATATATTGCAGCCGTTGATATTGTTTGATCCTATGGTTTAGATTTGTCCTCATATATAAGGAGTGTCCTCACATAAAGAGTGGTTCTCACCGGATCCCGACCCTATATATATATATATATATATATATATATATATATATATATATATATATATATATATATATATATATATACATTGTGCACCTAAATACATATACAAATGCTAAGCTACAGCCGGAGTACCCTACCCTGCACCGCCACTACCTGGTTCGTCATCCCTAGGGTCTCGAGGATGAGATTGAATGGTAGAACATGTGTCGTTACCGAGGAATCGACGCATCATCTCATCCTACCTCTCCTGGTTTGTTCTCTCTATTGCGGCCATTCGGGCTTCAAATCGAGCTTCCATCTCATCTTCCAGTTGACTCTCGATTTCCTGCACCCTCTGCTCCACCTGATTTTGCATCTGGGAAACAATGGAAGGTGTGTACTGCTGTGAAGACAATGAAACTCGACCCAACCTGTTGCCATAGTACATCTCTGCACTTTGGCCAAGTCCCTTAACACGACCCTTCTTGTTGCGGCCACCCACAGTTTCCCACTACAACTCATGCGGACTCTTCCGAATCCCTCGAGAGCTTGCTTCTTCAACTTTCTTCTGGTAGGCGTCCTACATGATATACATATGAAAAAGAACATAGATATAAGTTAAAATAAGCTTTATGAACAAAATAGAACGAAGTAAGGCATAAATGACTTCTACTTTGCCAATTTTCTACATTTCTTACCAAATGAACTCTTTCTTTCTCATAACATGTCAATTATAGGTGATTTTAGGCCTCCATGGCTTGAAATCACAAAAAAAAAACCAACTCCCTAAGTTTTAGGAACCGTTTTCAACCAAATTCATCTATACACGGCCTAAATGACTTCTATTTTGCCCATTTTCTTCATTTCTTAGCAAATGAACTCTTTCTTTAACAAAAAATGTCAATTATAGGTAGTTTTAGGTATCTATGACTTGAAATCACAAAAAAAGACCAAGTAACTAAGTTCTAGGAACCATTTTCAACCAAATTCATCCATATACGGCCTAAATGACTTCTACTTTGCCCATTTTCTTCATTTCTTAGCAAATGAACTCTTTCTTTCACAAAAAATGTCAATTATAGGTAGTTTTAGGTATCTATGACTTGAAATCACAAAAAAGACCAAGTAACTAAGTTCTAGAAACATATTCAACCAAATTCATCCATATACGGTCTAAATGACTTCTACTTTGCCATTTTCTTCATTTCTTAGAAAATGAACTATTTCTTTCTCAAAACATATCAATTATAGGAAGTTTTAGGTATCCATGACTTGAAATCACAAAAAAAAAAAAAAAAAAAAAACAAGTAACTAAGTTCTAGGAACCATTTTCAACCAAATTCATCCATATACGGCCTAAATGACTTCTACTTTGCCCATTTTCTTCATTTCTTAGCAAAATAACTATTTCTTTCTCAAAAAATGTCAATTTTAGGTATTTTTAGGTATCCATGACTTGAAAACACAAAAAAAAAAAAACCAAGTAACTAAGTTCTGGGAACCATTTTCATCAAAATCGAACCAAATACGGCCTAGGTGACTTCTACTTTGCCCATTTTCTACATTTGTTACCAAATGAACTATTTATTTCTCATAACATGTCAATTATAGGTGGTTTTAGGCCTCCATGGCTTGAAATC